GGTGATACCCCAGATATTGTTGAATACTTGGACCAAACTATACTTGAAGCCTGATCTATCTGGACTTTTATTTTTCTTCTTTTCTTTCAGTCTTTCTTTCTTTCCTTCCTTCCTTCCTTCCTCCCTCCCTCCCTCCCTCCCTCCCTCCCTCCCTCCCTCTCTCTCTCTCTCTCTCTTTCTTTCTTTCTTTCTTTCTTTCTTTCTTTCTTTCTTCTTTTTTTTTTGACAGAGTCTCGCTCTGTAGCCAGACTGGAGTGCAGAGGCAAGATCTCAGCTTACTGCAACCACCACCTCCCGGGTTCAAGTGATTCTCCTGCCTCAGCCTCCCAAGTAGCTGGGACTACAGGCATGTGCCACCACACCCAGCTAATATTTGAATTTTTTGTAGAGATGGGGTTTCACCATGTTGGCCAGGATGGTCTCGATCTCTTAACCTCGTGATCCGCCCACCTGGGCCTCCCAAAGTGCTGGGATTACAGGTGTGAGCCACCACGCCTGGGCTGGACTTTTCAATTACATGAACCAATGTATTCCTATTATTTAGGCCAGTATGTGTTAGAAGTTCTTACTTACACTAGAAAATATCCTAACTGATACAGTTTCTCAACTTCCTTTCAATTTCTTCTCTGTTTTGAAGGCATTTGAATTTCTGGGTATATCTGGAAACCTTTCATCACATACATTTATACATACCGCTCAAATGGCATTTCTGCATTTGATTGAAAACCAATTTCACATTCTGCCTATTTTTTGAAACTTTAAAATAAAATTAAATAACTACATATTGCAATCTTATATTAGAATGATTAGATTTTAGCTGGACGAGGTGGTTGACACCTTTAATCTCAGCACTTTGGGAGGCCAAGGCAGGTGGATGGCTTGAGTCCAGGAGTTTGATACCAGCCTGGGTGACATGGCAAAACTTAGTCTCTACAAAAAATACAAAAATTAGCTGGGCATGGCAGCATGTGCCTGTAGTCCAGCTACTCAGGAGGCTGAGATGGGAGGATTGTTTGAGCTCGGGAGGCAGAGGTTGCAGTGAGCCAAGATCACTGCACTCCAGCCTGGGTGACAAATCAAGACCTCATCTCAAAGAATTAAAAAAAAGAACTATTAGAGTTCTTTGATAACAATATATAAGTGAGATTAAACTTAATATCATATAAATACCTTTAATTAGGAACTGAATTTGTATACTCATTACTTTTTAGGCAACACTGTACAAAGGCTGGACAATAGCGAAACAAAGCAATAAGAACTTTGCCAACAAAGTTCTTTCAACTTTCAAAGAAGTTTACCAACAAAACTGTTTCTGGCAATGCAATTTTAGTTCCTCATTTGTGGTAGTTGTTATCCTCTTAATAGCAATATCCTGTGAGGTTGTTTGATGCCCATGTGGCAAGTTGGTGACTGTAGGTGTCTTTTGTGTTACGGATTCCATCGCTTTTTGGTATTATATGTGTTCCATGCTGCTTAACATTTTTAAATCCCAGTCCTACATTACTTCATTGATGCCTTCATTCAGTTGATAGATTCCTTCACCATGAATGTATTAGCGTACCTAGTTTGTGTAAGGCACTGAGCTAAGCATAGGGGTGCCTATGCTCTCCAAGAGTAGCCATGTGGCTGTGGAGAGAGGGTATGCAACACCCTGACTTTAACACAGCTTCTTTTAATTTTCCTACTTTTTTTGAGACAGGGTCTCACTCTGTTGCCCAGCCTGGAGTGCAGGGATGTGATATCAGCTCACCACAACCTCTTACTCCTGGGTTCAAGTGATTCTTCTACCTCAGATTCCCAAGTAGCTGGGATTACAGGTACACATCACCGTGCCCAGCTAATTTTTTTTATTTTTAGCAGAGATGGGGTTTCCCCATGTTGGCTAGACTGGTCTTGAACTCCTGACCTCAGCTGATCCACCCATCTCGGCCTCCCAAAGTGCTGGGATTACAGGTGTGAGCCACCACACTCAGCCTAATACAGCTTCTTAACTGTTGTGGCTGGGCAAGAGTTACAGGAGTTTCTCCTCAACTTTAGGGAGGCCTGGACAGCATTTAAGACTCTAAGCAGTGTCAGCAATTTAGCCAGGGGCTCTGAACAAATACTACAATTTTCTTCGTGAACCACAATGTAGAAAAAAATGTAAGCTGCTAATTATTGTAACAGGTATTAAAAAGTAGTAATGGAAAAGAGAGGAGAATAAGTTCTGCCTGAAGTGCGTGAGAAGAGCTGGACCTAAGTAGGATTCCCACAAGCAGATAGGACAGGGAAGTAGAAAGTAACGATTAAAAAAAAATACACACATGCTGTGATTCTGCAATCTTCCTTTTGGGAATCTATTCTACAGAAATTAAATCAGCAGGAGGTAAAGACATATGTACAAAGATGTTGATTATAGCCTTGTTTATTGTAGCAAAAGACTATAAACAACATAATTATGTCAACCGCAAAATGGTTGAATACATCATGGTATATCCATACTATGGAATGCCTGCAGCTTTTAAAAAGAATTAAATCTGTATGTGTTGACCTGTAGTTGTAAAAGTAAGTGGTTTAGCAATGTGAATAGCTAGATCCATTTTTGTGAGGCAACAACTTAAAAATGGGTATATGTTGATCTATGAATACAAAGGAAGCTGTAGAAGAATGCACCATCCTGTTAATATTGGTTATGTGGGTAGTGGTTGTTAACAGTGTGGTATTGGTTTAGTATTTGTTCTTTTATAGATCTCTATTCTATTGGTCTTGTTACAGTGATTTTTCTTTTTGAGACAGAGTTTCGCTTTTGTTGCCCAGGCTGGAGTGCAATGGTGTGATCTCGGCTCACTGCAACCTCTGCCTTTCAGCCTCAAGTGATTCTCCTGCCTCAGCCTTCTGAGTAGCTGGGATTATAGGCATGTGCCACCATGCCCGGCTAATTTTGTATTTTTAGTACAGATGGAGTTTCTCCGTGTTGGTCTGGCTGGTCTTGCCGACCTTAGGTGATCCACTTGTACAGGTGGATATAACAGGTGGCCCACCTTGGCCTCCCAAAGTGCTGGGATTACAGGTGTGAGCCACCGCATCCGACCACAATGATCTTTTAAAATTGCCATTAAAGATTGGTGTTTTGGAGAGGGAGACAAGCCCTGGGACAAGAGTGATGGGTGAGAACTGAGCACAGGCTTGTGAAGGAGCCCCCTTGTGAAGTGTTAAGTTCTTACATGATTTTATTTCTATGGAGAGGAAATTGTAGTGCATTTGAAGCTTCATCTCCTCTCTTCCTGCTCTGTATTTTTTTTTAAATAACCCAATGTATTAGTCTGTTTTCATGCTGCTGATAAAGACTTACCTGAGATTGGGTAAATTATAAAGAAAAAGAAATTTAATGGACTCACAGTTCCACGGTGCTGGGAAGGCCTGACAATCATAATGGAAGGCAAAAGGCACGTCTTACATGGCAGCAGGCAAGAGAGAAAAAATGAGAGCCAAGGGAAAGGGGTAAAACCATCAGATCTCATGAGACTTATTTACTATCATGAGAACAGTATGGAAGAAACTGCCCCTATGATTCAATTATCTGCCACCGGGTCCCTCCCATAACATGTGGGAATTATGGGAACTATGATTCAAAATGAGATCTGGGGACACAGCCAAACCATATCACCTAGTCTCAGCAGAGAAAGTTATATCCACCTATACAAATGGTTTGATGGAGACTGTGGGAGAAAGGGGAGGGAAGGGGTGACCAGCCCACCTCCATCTCTATGCTGGTCCCCTCGGCAGACCAACCATCAGTCCCAGGAAGAGGCCTGTGGAAAAGTGAGCAGAGTCAAAGGACAGTGGAGGCTGGGGAGTGGCTTCAAGGGTACAAGCCAAAGTCATTCCTTCCTCAACGCTGGAGGGAGCAAAGAAAAACAAGGCATGCCTCTGAAAAACAGAAAAATTGCCTAAGGGTTGATGTGCCCTTTTCCATCCACTGCTCTAGCACCAAGGGCTGGGGGGACTTTTGCTGTGGCTTACAAGTGATGGTTTCCCTGTGTGCGCAGTGTTTCTGAAAATCTCTGCATTTCTACAGGCAGAGAACACTGGCACTTCTTGCTACTGTCCAAGTCCATCAATAGGTTTTCTTGTATGTTTACTAATATTCGCCAGAAGCCTCATGAGTCTAATTTTCCACCCTACAGACTAGAAACAGGAATAGGGGCTGTGCTTGAAACTCTACTTTGGGAAAGGGATCTTATTTTATAGAAATGTTAACACAATGGAATGACTTTACTTAAATACAAACAAAACAAACTAACTAAAAAGACCTATCCTCAATTCCAGTTCTTTCCTCCTTCACCTTCCTTCTTTTAAATTAACATTTATTGTTGTTACCTTTTTTTTGCGTCATTTACCAGAGCACTACAGACTCAGCGGAGAAAATTGGGAAAATACAGTAAAGCACGGGTAACATTTTGGTTCCATCGTTTAGAGACAGCGATGAATATTTTTCTTTCAGAGCCGGAGTTTAACTCTTGTCACCCAGGCTGGAGTGCAATGGCGGGATCTCCGCTCACAGCAACCTCCTCCTCCCGGGTTCAAGCGATTCTCCTGCCTCAGTCAGTTGAGATTACAGATATGTGCCACCACGTCGTGCTAATTTTGTATTTTTAGTAGAGAAGGGCTTTCTCCATGTTGGTCAGGCTGGTCTCAAACTCCTGACCTCAGGTGATCCGCCCGCCTTGGCCTCCCAAAGAGCCACCACGCCCGGCGAACATTTTTCTTTAAACAGTGATGGGGTATTGTGAACTGGGGTATGCTTTTTTCTTTTTCTGCCACTTTCTACTTTTTAAAAGAAGGATGGCCGTCCGACCTTCCTGTACTGGCGGTCACAGCCAGTGCCATCCTAGGTTGCAGACACAGCGCCGGCTGGATACCGCCCTGCGCATTCCCAGGCTACAGGGCCTTCCCGGGCGCGGCCCCTTTAAGGAGGCAGACGCCGGGGGCGGTCCCCACGCTGATTGGCGGAGCTCGGAGCCACGTGGCCGTCTCGGGGCGGCTGTTGCTGCTGCAGGGCTCCGGCGGGGGTCAGGGGGTTCGGGAAGGCACCGCCGGTCCCCGGGAAGGGGACGAGTTGACAGATGTGCGTGAGGAGGTCCCTGGTCGGCCTCACCTTTTGTACCTGCTACCTGGCTTCTTACCTCACGAACAAGGTGAGGGGGCGGGCGCTGGACGCAGCGATTGCACGTGGGAGGCTTGAGCCGCAAAATCTGCCTGTGACAAACCGAGCCTCCTACTTTCTACCTCATTCTTCCCGGTAGCGATCGAGAGCGAACCACCTCCGTAAGGGATGATGCTCTTTTAGAAATAGGATTTGCCGGCCTGTACTGTCCCGGTTTCCTGCACTGTAAAGCTCGGCACATCTCCTGGGAAACAGGATTTTAGGGCTGCCCATTTTCTGGGAACTTGGTTTGGGGCTGTGTGGACTAGTTTTAAGAGAAAGCAAGCAATTGGCTCCTGCTTCCCCCTGGGAGGAAGAGTCAGAAGAAATCTGACACATCTTGCCTTTTTTCTAAGCAGGCCTGTGTCCCAGAGTTCCATGAGGTTCCAGAAGCCTTCAAATGGAAGAGATTAAGCCATCTCCCCCTCACACTGCTGAATCCCGAATCAATTTTTTTTTATGCCTCCATTGTAAGCACTTAAGGGGTTTCTCATGGAATTATTGTTATTATTATGAGAGGAAATCTTGCTCTGTCACCAGGCTAGAGTGCAGTGGCACTACCTCGGCTCCCTGTAACCTCTGCCTCCCGGGTTTAAGCAATTCTCCTGCCTCAGCCTCCAGAGTAGCTGGGACTACAGGCAAGCGCCACCACGCCAGGCTAATTTTTTTATTTTTTAGTAGAGACTGGGTTTTACCTTGTTGGCCAGGATGGTCTCGATCTCTTGACCTCGTGATCCTTCCGCCTCGGCCTCCTAAAGTGCTGGGATTACAGGCGTAAGCCACCGCGCCCGGTCGGAATTGTTATTTTTAAAATAAAATGTACATTTAATTTTAGGTTTAAACTAATGACATGAAATCATGAAGCCCTTTTGGTGAGGAGGCAGAGAAGCAGTAATACCAGGTTTGGGGGTTTATTTTGCAAAGAGAGGGAAGCTGACTTTGGGTTTGGTACCACGCAGAGAAATGGTGGAACCAGTAGGACCCATTGGGCGTGGCTGGGGCATCACCTGCTGGCCTGGACTTTGGGCTGGCTCCAGCCAAAGTGGGAATACAGAGTGCAGGACACCTGGCCCCACTGTGGGGTCTCTACTGTGGGCTTCCCCCGCTGCTCTCCCCCTTTCCTCTCCCCTCTCTTGCTCTCTGGAAAAGAACCATCAACAAACAGCATTTCTTTCTACCTCCTCTCCTGCAGTGAGTGCCTCTCTTTATATATCCAGAGGATGCTCCCCAACCCCCTTTCACTCTCCAGTTTATTTTTATTTTTGAGATGGAGTCTTGCTCTATCACCCAGGCTGGAATGCAGTGACGTGATCTTGGCTCACTGCAACCTCCACCTTCTGGGTTCAAGTGAGTCTCCTGCCTCAGCCTCCTGAGTAGCTGGGGCTACAGGTGTGTGCTACCATGCTGGGCTCATTTTTGTATTTTTAGTAGAGATGGAGTTTCGCCATATTGGCCAGGCTGGTCTCTAACTCCTGACTGCAGGTGATCCACCCACCTCAGCCTCCCAAAGTGTGAGGGATTACAGAAGTGAGCCACTGCACCCGGCCTCCAGTTATTTTTAGTTATGGCAATAAGCCTCTGAAGGTCCATAAATGCAGCCTTCCTGGGAGGCAGTGATGGGTTTTACTTACTGGCTCCACTTACTTGGCCTTTGGAACCTTACTCTTTCTTTTTTTATTTTATTTTCAAGATGGAGTTTTGCTCTTGTTGCCCAGGCTGGAATGCAATGGTGTGATCTCAGTTCATTGCAACCTCCGTCTCCTGGGTTCAAGTGATTCTCCTGCTTCAGCCTCCCAAGTAGCTGGGATTACAGGCATGCACCACCATACCCTGCTAATTTTGTATTTTTAGTAGAATGGGGTTTCTCCATGTTGGTCAGGCTGGTCTCAAACTCCTGACTCAGGTGATCCACCCACCTCAGTCTCTCAAAGTGCTGGGATTACAGGCGTGAGCCATCCCACCCGGCCTGGATGTACGTTTTCATTTGTGGCACTTTTATAAAATTTATTGGAGCCCCAGGGTATTTTATAAAGTTTTGCTTGTTTTTTGAGATAGGGTCTTCTCTCACCCAGGCTGGAATGCAGTGGTGTAATCATGGCTCACTGTAACCTCTGCCTCCCAGGCTCAAGTGATCCTCACACCTCAGCCTCCCGAATAGCTGGGACTACAGGTGTGCACCACCATGCTTGGCTAATTTCTGTATTTTTTTTGATAGAGACAAAGTTTCGCCATGTTACCCAAGCTGGTTTCTAATTCCTGGGCTCAAGTGATCTGCCCACCTTGCCTTGGCCTCCCAAATGCTGGGATTGTAAGTGTGAGCCCCTGTGCCCAGCCAACAAATTTAATCAAAACAATACTTTCCATATGCATAATGCATTTAGATGTTAGATGAAATTAAACCAAATTGTTTCTTCCCAGGAGTGGATAATCTGAATAATCAAACTCACAGCTGACCAAGGGCGCTGAGAATGTAAATACAATGGTTTGGAATGCTTTGGCTTGGGGATGTGGGAAGTGTCAGAGCTAGTAGAAAGAGTAGGTCAAAAACAGCAGAAGGCAGGAAAGAAAGGGAGAAGGAGGAGATTGTCTGCAGAGGGAGGAGGAGGTGGGCTCAAGAGTGGAGTAGAGAGACAGGAGAATCAGGTAGGGGTGCCAGTAATGGTTGAACATTATGGGACTCTGGTGAGGAACTTTTTATCTCTTAAAAGCTTGAACCTTTTATGGCCATTATTTCATCTTCTCAACCAGGATGGTGGTGCTCCCTTCTGGCAGCCAAGGCTGGGTGGGTCAGCTTGGACCAAGTAGAGGCCAACTGGGAAGAAATCTACAATGGACACCCCATGAGCAGATTCTGTCTATTATGAGCATATTCTACTCTAATGTGGCAGAGAGCATGTAATTTCTTTGCCACATTAATTTTCTTTGAATTAGTGAAGTTTTTGTGTGTGTGTGTGTGTGTGTCTAAAGTAGAGGATACTCTCTTCTAGCTTTTGAAGCCTCTGTTTTAGTTAATTTCCATACTTCTTTGTGTGATTTTCTCCTTCAGGCTGTTCCCCTATTTATTTGAAGAAGGGAAATTTTTTTTTTTTTTTTTTTTTTGAGAGGGAGTCTTGCCCTGTCACCCAGGCTGGAGTGGAATGATGTGATCTCGGCTCACTGCAACCTCCGCCTCCCGGGTTCAAGTGATTCTCCTGCCTCAGCCTCCCGAGTAGCTGAGATTACAGGCTTTAGCCACCATGCCTGGCTAACTTTTGTATTTTTTTTTTTTTTTTTTTTTTTGAGACGGAGTTTCGCTCTTGTGACCCAGGCTGGAGTGCAATGGCGCGATCTCGGCTCACCGCAACCTCTGCCTCCTGGGTTCAGGCAATTCTCCTGCCTCAGCCTCCCGAGTAGCTGGGATTACAGGCATGAGCCACCATGCCCAGCTAATTTTTTGTATTTTTAGTAGAGACGGGGTCTCACCATGTTGACTAAGATGGTCTCGAGCTCTTGACCTCATGATGCACCCGCCTCGGCCTCCCAAAGTGCTGGGATTACAGGCGTGAGCCACTGCGCCCGGCCAACTTTTGTATTTTTAAGTAGAGATGGGTTTTCACCATGTTTGTATTTTAAGTAGAGACGGGGTTTCACCATATTAGCCTGGATGGTCTCAATCTCCTGACTTCGTGATCTACCCACCTCAGACTGCCAAAGTGCTGGGATTACAGGTGTGAGCCACTGCACCCTGCCAAGAAAATTCTTTTTTTAAAAAATCTCGTACAGCTCATTCTGACCCCCTTCTACTGTTTGAACGAATGGTATTTGTTAGAAGTTTGAGGCCGCAAGTGTGCTGTCAAAGGAAGCTGCCCTAGGTAGGGAGGGAGGAGGAAGCACCACACCCTTGGGCTCTGGCTTCGTGGCTTGGGCTGGCCCAGGCTGATGACATGTTCCTCTGTCCTTTGGGAGGTTCCAGCTGTAATCAGGCCCTAGGCAGCCAGCTGTCCTTCCCCTTATAGAAATTGAGACTTCAGCTCAGAGGCAAAGTTCATTTCGATTCTGGATAAGCGGTTGGCATCTGTAAAATATAAAGAACGTATTAATAAGAAAAATACTAAAACCTCAGTGAAAATAAATGGGTAAAAGGCATAAGTAGACAATGCACTGAAAAAAGAGATATGAGGCTGGGCACGGTGGCTCATGTCTGTAATCCCAGCACTTTGAGAGGCCAAGACAGGTGGATCACCTGAGGTCAGGAGTTCGAGACCAGCCTGGCCAACATGGCAAAACCCTGTCTAACTAAAAAATACAAAAATTAGCTGGGTGTATGTAGTAGCACGTGCTTGTAATCCCAGCTACTGGGGAAGCTGAGGCAGGAACATCACTTGAAAAAAGAAAGAGAGATACGGGTGTTTTTGTTAACTTTCACATGGCCTCACCCACTTTTTGGGGGGTTTATGACCTTTTTCTTATGAGCTTTTTTTTTTTTTTTTTGAGACAGAGTCCCGCTCTTGTTGCCTAGGCTGGAGTGCAGTGTCGTGATCTCGGCTCACTGCAACCTCTGCCTCCCGGGTTCAAACGATTCTTTTTCCTCAGCCTCCCGAGTAACTGGGACTACAGGTGCACGCCACCATGCCCAGCTGGTCTCAAAAGCTTGACTTCGTGATCTGCCCGCTTCAGCCTCCCAAAGTGCTGGGATTACAGGCATGAGCCACCATGCCTGTCAGGCCCAATCACTTTAGTGTGACTTGGGAGGTCATTTGTTTGCCCAGTTTGTGATTTTGGTGGGAATAATGGCCTTTTTGAAACTTAACATGTGGTTATATTTCTTTAACAGAAATTTCTTTGATTATATGGTTTGTCAGTTTTCTATCATTTGAAATGTCCAATAATCTGCTGTTTGTTTTTCAGTATGTCCTGTCAGTCTTGAAATTTACCTACCCTACATTATTCCAAGGGTGAGTATCTTTTCTGCTCTTTATATACATTTTTAGGAAATGTCCAATTAACATCGTTCTTTGAAATCGTTTTAATAACTGCACGGAGTTTTTTGTTGTCAAATAGATATCTTGTAAGATATTTAGCCACGTTATTAACAGACATTTAAGTTTTGTTCGATTTTGGGGATATGAAAACAATGTTACCAGACATTTTTGTGTTAAATTCTACCAAATTTCCAATGATTTCTTTGGGATTGATTCCTACATAAGAAATTTGGGTTAGGCTAGACATGATGTCTCATTACTATAATCTCAGCACTTTGGGAGGCTGAGGCAAGAGGATTGTATGAGGCTGGGAGTTGCTATCCCAAAGGATAGCAAGGCCCTGTCTCTACCAAAAAAAAAAAAAAACCCAAACTGGCTAACCATATGCCAAAAATGAAACTGGACCCCTGTGTCTTACTATATATAAAAATTAACTCAGGATGAATTAAAGACTTAAATGTAAGCTCTCAAACTCCAAAAATCCTAGAAGAAAACCTAGGAAATACTTTTCTGGACATTGACCTAGACAAAGAATTTATGATGAAAGCAAATGCAACAAATACAAAAATTGACAATCAGGACCTTATTAAACCGAAGACTTTCTGAACAGCAAAAGGAACTATTAACAGAGTAAACAATGTTGCAAACTATGTATCCAACAAAGGACTAATATCCACAATCCATAAGGAATCTAAACAAATCAACAAGAAAATAAAACAAATAATTCCTTTAAAAGTGGGCAAAGTCCACAAATAGACACTTCTCAAAACAAGAAATGCAAGTGGCCAACATATGAAACATTGCCTGATATCACTAATTGTCAGAGAAATGCAAATCAAACCATCATGAGATACCATCTCATACCAGTCAGAATGGCTAAAAGTCAAAAACTGGCTGTGAGTGGTGGCTCATGCTTGTAATCCCAGCACTTTGAGAGGCCAAGGTGGGGGGATCACCTGAGGTCAGGGGTTCAAGATGAGACTGACCAGCATGGTGAAACTTCGTCTCTACTAAAAATACAAAAAAAACCTGTCTGGGCATAGTGTCACATGCCTGTAATCCCAGCTACTGGGGAGGCTGAGGCAGGAGAATTGCTTGAACTTGGGAGGAAGAGGTTGGAGTGAGCTGAGATTGCACCATTGCACTCCAGCCTGGATGACAAGAGTGAAAATCTGTCTTAAAAAAAAAGGCAAAAAATAATATGTTGGCAAAGTTTTGGAGAAAAGGGAATGCTTATACACTGTTGGCAGGATTGTAAATTAGCTTAGCCCCTATGGAAAGCAGTTTGGAGACTTCTAAAAGAACAAAAAATAGAATTACCATTTGACCCAGCAATCCCATTACTGGGTGTATACCCAAGGAAAATAAATTGTTCTACCAAAAATATACCTACGCTCATGTGTATTTTATCACAGCACTATTCATAATAGCAAAGACATGGAATCAACCTAGGTGCCCATCAACTGTGGATTGGATAAGGAAAATTTGGTACATATATATACCGTGAAATACTACACAGCCATAAAAAAGAGCACAATTATGTCCTTAGCAGCAACATGGATGCAGCTGAAGGTCATCATCCTAAGTGAATTAACAGAAACAGAAAACCAAATACTGCGTGTTCTTACATGTAAATGGCAGCCGAACATTGGGTACACACAGACAGAAAGATGAAACAGTAGACACTGGGATTCCCCAAGAAGAGAGTTAGGGAGGGAGATAAGTAAGGATTGAAAACTACCTATTAGGTGCTCTGTTCACTGTTTGGGTCACGGAATCAATAGAAGCCCAAACCAGCATCACGCAATGTACCCATGTAGCAGATCTGCACATGCACCCCTTGAATCTTAAATTAGCTGGGCATGGTGTCTCAGCTACTCCGGAGGTTCAGGCAGGATTGTTGGACCCCAAGAGTTAGAGGCTGCAGTGAGCTGTGATCGTGTTGCTGTACTCTGGCTTGGGTGACAGAGTGAGACCTTGTCTCTAAAAAAAATAAAAATTAATAAATTCGGGTTAAAGTACATGAACATCTTTAGTATTCATCTTGAATATTAACAGATTCTTTTCCAAAAATGTTGTCCCAGTTGACATTGCCACCCAGCCTCCATATGAACATGTCTATAGTATTGTACTCAAACTGTGATTCTCTTTGCTGATTCCATGAGCAAAAGGTATATTGTTTTGTTGTATAATTTTTTAGGTTATTCATCAAGTTGGACAATTTTCTTATGTATGTTATCCACTTGTATCTCGTTTTCAGTGAATTGTCTAGTTGTACCTTTTATCCTTTTATTCTCATTGAGGTTTTAGTGTTTTTCTTATTAATTTAGTAAATTCTTTATATTTTAAGGAGGTCAACCAGTTGTCCATCATGTTTTTGGAAATAATTTTTGCAATTTGTTCTTTGTCTTTTAATTTGTTTATAATTATTTTGATTATTTAAATATTTTTATGTGGTCAAATATATTGTTTCATTCACAATTACTTCCATTTTTTAATGTTTTTTTCTTCTCCATCATCAAACCATTTAGATATTCACCTATATTTCATTAACGCTTTATTCAAGGTTTAATCATTGTCAGTTTAATTTAGTATATGGTGCAATGTAAGGAAATTATCCCTTTCCCAGTAGTTAACAGATTCATACTAGCCTCATGTATAGTATAATTCTTCCTTTTGCCTTATGCCCAAGGGCATAACAATCTGTATATGATTGTTAATCTCATATACAGACGGTCCCAACTTAATAACAGTTGGATGTAGAATTGTTTGACTGTATGATGGTGTGAAAGCAATATGCTTTCAGGAGAAACCATACTCCAGCTTTTGAGTTTTGCTGTTTCCTGGACTAGCAATATGCCATACGATACTCTCCCCTGATACTGGGCAGTAGTAGTGAGTGGTGAACCGCAGTTTCCAGCCACGTGAATGTAAATGTTCTGAACACGTTTATGGTAGGCAAAGCCAAGCTCTGGTGTTTGGTAGGTTATGTGTATTCAATGCTCTTTCAATTGTGACATTTTCGTTTTTTTTTTTTCTTTTGAGATGGATTCTTGCACTATTGCCTGGGCTGGAGTGCAATAGCATGATCTTGGCTCACTGCAAACTCTGCCTCCTGGGTTCAAGCAATTCTCCTGACTCAGCCTCCCGAGTAGCTGGGTTACAGGCATGCACCACTATGCCTGGCTGATTTTGTATTTTTTGTAGAGATGGGGTTTCACTATGTTGGCCAGGCTGGTCTTGAACTCCTGATCTCAGGTGATCTGCCTACCTCGGCCTCCCAAGGTGCTGGGATTATAGGTGTGAGCGACCCCGACCAGCCAATTATGATATTTTCAATGTATGATCAATTTGTTGGGACATAACTCCATTGTAAGTTGAGGAGCATCTGTATAAAGTCATTTTTTTGGCTGGGCGAGGTGGCTCATGCTTATAATTTAAGTACTTTGGGAGGCCAAGGCAGGAGGATCTCTTGAGGCCGGGAGTTCAAGACCAGCTTGGCCAACATGGCGAAACCCTGTCTCTACTAAAAATACAAAAATCAGCCAGGTATGATGGTGAGTACCTGTAGTCCTGCTATTCAGGAGGCTGAGGCACAAGAATTGCTTGAACCCGGGAAGCAGAGTTTGCAATGAGCTGAGATCACGCTACCACACTCCAGTCTGGGCAACAGTGCAAGACTCTGTCCCAAAAATAAAAGATAAAAAATAATAAAGTTGTTTTTCTAGGGTCTCTTTTTGGGTACTTATTTGTCAATTTTCATAATAAGGAACTAGTGCTGAATTGTTTTAATTACTAAACCATTTAAATATGTAGTAGAGCGAGTCAGCCCTCATTCTTCTCCTTCTTTTTTTTGTTTTGGCAGAATTTTGTTTTTTTCCGCCCAGGCTGGAGTGAAGTGATGCAATCTTGGCTCACTGCAACCTCCGCCAGCTGGGTTCAAGCGATTCTGCTGCCTCAGCCTCCTGAGTAGCTGGGATAATAGGTGCCTACCACCGCGCCCAGCTAATTTTGTATTTTTAGTAGAGACGGGATTTCACCATGTTGGCCAGGCTGGTCTCGAGCTCCTGACCTCAGGTGATCCACCTGCCTTGGCCTCCCAAAGTGCTAGGATTACAGGCATGAACCACAGTGCCTGGCTTCGTTCTTAACCTTTTAAAAAAATGTTCATTATATTATCACCAGTATGTTATTTCAGGTGAACTTTATAATACTTTGTCAAGCTCCTCCCTAATACTTCATAGCAAACATGTTTGTTTTTGTAGAGGCGGGCTCCCTCTCTGTCACTCAGGCTGGAATACAGTGGCATGATCATAGCTCTCTGCAGCTTTGAACTCCTGGCCTCAAGTGATCCTCCCAGGATTAAGGCATGAGCCCGGCCTTGTAGCAAAGTTTTAAAGTATCTTCTGTGATTATGTGTATTTTAGTCAATAAAGCTGGGATACTGGTTTCTCTCTTATAGCCTAGCAAGCATTTTCTGGTCCTGGCTATCTTTCCGCATCTCTCAAGGTAGAGGGACTTAGGGACTTTGCATAAGAAAGGGGTGATCTCTCTGCTTGGATTGCCACTCTCCTTGTCCTTGGGTGAGTCAGACTGAATGCACCTCCCCCATAGAGTGTAAGATCTACAAGGCTGGTTGACTTATCCATTTTGTCACTGGAGTATTTCCAGTGCCTAGAACAGTGCCTGGTGCCTGGTAGGATAGAGTAATGTATTTTGCAGATGCGTGGGGCATATCAGTGAAGAAAACAGATCCCTGCCCTCATGGAGCTTGCTATTTAAATTATGGCTGTTCCTTAAATTCACCTGCAGTGAATGGTTATCCTGCATCCGACTGCACAACTCAGAACCTGGGAGTCGTTCTTGTTTTCTTTGTATCCTTCATCCTCAACATCCAGTTACCCACCAGGGCCTCCTAGACATCTTCAGAATCTGTCCGCTTTCTTCATGCGTGTTGCCCCTTTCTAGGCACCGTCATCTCTCCAAGCTCACCGTCATCTCTATAAAAACTCCTAACTTACTTCTTTGCCCCTAGACTTGCTTCTCTCAGAAACATTCCCTCCCTTGTAAAGAGAGGGAGCTTCCCCAAAGGTAATGACAGTCTCACTCCCATGCCCGGAACCCTTCAGTGAGTCCTCAGTTTGAAGTCCCAGCTCCTTATGATTGATGTGGTCCTTCAGGACCAGCCCTTTCTTTCCAGGGTCAGCTCTTGCCGCCCCCTCTCCAATGCTCCAGTTCAGTCCAGACCAACTGAACTCCGAGAAGCTTTGAATGAAGCCATTGTTTCTCTCACCTCTGGGCCTTTTGCCTTGAACAGTCTTTGGGTTTTTGTTCAAATTTATTTTCTCTAGGCAGTCTTACCCGCTCACTAGACTAAGTTAGTTGCTCTCAAGAGAGTGGCTTATGGTACCTGGTACGCTTCCTTCCAGGGCTTCACACACTTGTTTGTAATTACTGATTAATTACCTTACTTTCCCTGGACTGGGGTTTCTCCACTTGGGAATGACATTCCAGTGCTGACATTTGGAGCTGGAGAATTCTTTGCAGTGGGACTGCCCTTCGCACTGTAGGATGTTTAGCAGCATCCCTGGCTTCTGTCTAGATTCCAGGGGCATACCTTCTGCTCCTTTCCCCAGCTGCAACAACCAAACATTTTTCTAGACACTGCCAAATACCCCCTGGAGGGGAAAATCGCCTGGTTGAGAATCACTGTGCTAGACCAAACTGTTTGAATGCAGGACGCATATTTGGTGTATTTTGCTTGGCATGGTCAGTGAAACGTCACACAGGATATGTGCAAACTGGGTGTTGTAGGCTGAGCAGGTGTCCACCACAGACAAAGAGATGGGAAGAACATTATGGGGTAAGAGGACGGCACACCCAAGCTCCTAGAATCCGACATGACCTGGCATGTTCCCAAGGCTGTGGGCCGTCCTGTGTGGCTAGCATGTGACTGCCCACAGCAAGCAGACAGCAGCTGACCCTGTAGAGGGGCGGGTGCGAGTCCCAGAGACCTTGTGTGTCACACTCAAGTGACTTTGTTCTTTAGGCCAGAGTTCTCAGCTGTAGTGTCGCAACACATGGGTATGTTGTGGTCATAGTCACTTCCTAGGTGAGGTGTCTCAAGTCATTTATAATGAAAAACAGGGTTTTGAAATTTATGAATGACTCACCTAAACTCAAAAAGCAATTAGAGCAAGCCATTATGCCTCTCTTCATTTGGCATTCTGATGTGTTTTCTGCACTGGGAGAAGGAGGGGTGTTTGTGACCTGTGCTGCCGCTGCACTATGCATGCTGGGAGCAGTGTGTCTCAGGTGAGCTTCATGACCCCGAGTCATGAAGAAAACAGGCTGCCAACAGTGTTGGCAGAAAACAGGCTGAGGGTTGCTGCCTGTGGTACCAGGAAGACTCATCTGTTTTTAAAACAAGCAAGTAGCACAATTAAATTCACATTTTAGGATAGACCCTTTGACTGCAAAGTAAAGAATGGATGAAGGGCCACCTCAGAGAGAGGGGGACCAGTTAAGGGAATAATGCTGTGAGCCAGGCATGAGATGATGAGAGCCTGAATTGAAACAGAGGCAGGAGGGTTGGTGGGAAGGCTTCAGATTTGAGTGCTGTTATGGGTATAAATAAAATCAATAGGATATTGTGCCTAGACAAGGGAGGTGAAGGCCGAAGAGGTGAGCTGGGATGCCACCTAGGTTTCTGGTTTGGCTGATTAGGAATAGGGAGGATGATTTGAGGGAGAGGTTCCGGGTGATGATTTAGGCATGTTATCATCGGGAGCTTGGCAGGGAGGAGAGGAACGGGCTGAGGGTTGAAAAGGTACCTGTTGGGTACAATGTACACTATGCAGTTGGTGGCCACTGGAACCCCAAACCTCACCGTTACTCACTATATCCATGTAACAAATGTGCACGTATACCTCCAAATCTACGAATAATAGCAATAATCATCATCATCGAGAGCTTGTGGGAGATCACTGTGGTGGTATCCAAGTGAGAACGGGGATTTGGGACTCATCAATGAAGAGGCAGTGGGAGAGGCAGTGGCTATGACTGAGGCTGTTCAGGAAAAGTCTAGAATAAGAGGAGAAGAGTGTCAATGACAGTACTTACTGGGCAGCTGGACTATAGGGAATAGAGATAGAGAAGGAAAGGTCTGAGAAATGGGATAATTGGGAGAGAGTGGGAGAAAAGAGTAGTAAACAGAGTTGAACGTGTCTCTCTGTGTCAGTTGGCAGATCTGCCAGGGCTGGGTGGTGTTGGAGACCAAACGTGGCACTCTATGAAATTCACATAGCCTCTTGCCCTTTCCAGGTGGCAGACGCTCATTGGTGGACTTTTGCTTCATGTGTCCTGGAAGCTGGGCTGGGTAGAGATCAACGGCAGTTCAAGGTATAACCTCTCTGTGCTGGACTCGTGTATGATTCACACTCTGCTTGCTTTTCATATTATGTAATTCCATATGGTGTTACACTGGAAAGACAGAGGTTTATTTATTTACTTATTTCTTTAAGAGACAGAGTCTTGCCCTGTCTCCCAGGCTGGAGTGAAGTGGCACAATCTCAGCTCACTGCAACCTCCACCTCCTGGATTCAAGCAATTCTTGTGCCTCAACCTCCCAAGTAGCTGGAATTACAGCTGCTCGCCACCATGGCAGGCTAATTTTTATATTTTTAGTAGAGATGGGGTTTTACCATGTTAGCTAGGCTGATCTCAAACTCCTGACCTCGAGTGATCCACCTGCCTCGACCTCCCAAAGTGCTAGAATTACAGGCGTGAGCCACCGTGCCCAGCCAGCATAGAGGCTTATTTGAGGTGTTTGATATCTTAGTTCCTTCTAACCTTGAGAGTCAGTGATTTTATGATCAGATAAAATTTGAATAGTATTTTCCTAAGTAAGAATGCCACTAGTATAGTATTAAGATTAACTGATACGTTGATGTAGTGTGGGAAAAAAGTTAATTGAGATATATATGTTATAATGTCAAATTAATGTTGCTTTGTTTTGATCATAGGATATGTATGATGAATGAAATTACATAAGCTTAAATAACTTTTTTAGTAAATTTCTTATTTTAAAATTATTTCTGGCTGGGCATGGTGATTCATGCCTGTAATCCCAGCATTTTGGAAAACCAAGGTGGGAGGATCACTTGAGCCCAAGAGTTTGAGACCAGCCTGAACAACTTAGGGAGACCCCACCTCTACAAAAATAATAAGAAAAATATTAGCCAGGTGTGGTTGTATGTGCCTATGGTTGTATGTGCCGCTACTTGGGAGACTGAGGTGGGAGGATCACCTGAGCCTGGGAGGTCAAGGCTGTAGTTTGCTGGGATTGCACCATAGCACTCCAGCCTGAGCCACAGCAGGAGACGGTGCCTCAAAAAAATTCCTACCTATAAACAAGTTAGAATAATACAACCCTACCCATTACTCAGATCCCCTAATTATTTTACCATGCTTTTCTTACCATTTTCTCTTGATGTACTGTGCATGTGTAGACATGTATATGCATACATATGTATACATAAATAGATAAACTTTTTTTTCCTGAACTTTTTGAAAATAAGCTGTAGATTTGACAGGAAATATCTCTTTTCTTTACTTTGGAATTCTTTAGGGTGTATTTCCTAAGAGCAAGGACATTCTCTTACATGACTGTAATAAAATTATCAAAATCAGGGAGATATTGACAATGATAAAATACTATTTATTATCTCATTTATATTGAGATAATATTTTGCCAGTTATCTCAGTAGTATCCTTTATACCCCTCCACTCCAAAATTCTAGTTCAGAGTCCAATCCAGATCACACATTACATTAGTTGTTATGATTCTATTAAAACAGCCTTTGAAATACATTTAAGAGAAATTTTGGCCAGGTACAGTGGCTCGCATCTGTTATCCCAGCACTTTGGGAGGCTGAAGCAGGTGGATCACTTGAGGTCAGGAGTTGGAGACCAGCCTGACCGACATAGTGAAACCCTAACTCTACTAAAAATACCAAATTAGCTAGGCATGGTGGCGCATGCCTGTAATCCCAGCTACTTGGGAGGCTGAGGCAAGAGAACTGCTTAAACTCAGGAGGCAGAGGTTGCAGTGAGCCGAGATCATGCCATTGCACTCCAGTCTGGGTGATAAGAGCAAATCTTCATCTCAAAAACAAACAAACAAACAAAGACCATGACATTATTTAGCCAAAACTGTAACCTGAATTGGTTATCTACTCCTATCTCACCTAGATATTCTCCTGATTCTTTGAGAACATCCATTTTATCCTGAAACGATGCACAAAGCGAAGAGAAAACTAAGTTAAAGTTTATATGAATAAAGGAAACATTCCAGCTGAATGATCAGGCCAAGTCATCTACCTTGTAGATTACTCTGCCCAGTTTCTCCATGAATCAAATTAACTGCTTAATTGTTAAGTCACCCCTTTGTTTGGCACTCTGGAGAAGATATGAGAACATGTTTAGCGTAGTAAATATTAATAATTTTGGCTTCTCGACCAGGTGAGATGGCTCACACCTGTAATCCCAGCACTTTGGGAGACCGAGGCAGGAAGATCACTTGAGGTGACCGGCCTGGCCAATGTGGTGAAACCCTATTTCTACTAAAAATACAAAAAAGAGCTCAGCGTGGTGGCGACATCTGTAGTTCCAGCGAGTTGGAAGGCTGAAGCAGGAAAATAGCTTGAGCCAGGGAGGCAGAGGTTGGAGTGAGCCAAAATTGTGCCACTGCACTCCAGCTGGGGTGACAGAGTGAGACCCTGTCTCAAAGAAAAAAAAAAAAGAAAAAGTTTAGGCTTCTCCTGAAAATTTAAAACTGGAGAGCAAAAAACTAGTATTAAGAAGTTTTATGAAGGAGAGATCCTGGGAACATAGGTGTACATCAATGTACCTGACCATGTCATGTCATAATCCATATTCATAAAGAATATTCCGTACAATATGCTTAACTAATCCAAAGGAGAAGTTCATTAAGTCACAATTTTGCATTTTCATGATATAGTATCCTTAGTTGGATGAAATAAAGATACTTTTGGGATTTTATATATTATATTAAGCACAAGTCTTGCTAAATACTCTGTTGTTATGGTGGATAGTTCAGTAAGAACTGGGCTTCATTTAAACAAATAAGTATACAGAATTCACAAGGCCGAGATAGCTGCAGTAGTTAAATAACGAAGGACCCTGGCTCCCAATGGGTAAACGTATTCCTTCATTCCCAAACTTATCCCTCATTGGGCCAGAATGAGGGACGTGGCTGTCACATTGCTGCCTAAAGGCCACTGATACAGATCAGCATGGGTCTTCCTTGCTGATTCCAATTGTTACATAATTTCTGATGTAAATTATTTACTTATTAATAGTTGTCTTTAAAAAATTACCTTACTCCTATTTTTTAAAAAGCAATGCCATTTTTCACATTAAAATTTTGTTTATTATGTTATTAATAAAATATGTATAACATAAGATTTACCATTTTAACCATTGTAAGCATACAATTCATTGGCATTGATAATATTCACAGTGTTGTACAATCATCATAACTATTTGTGTCCAGAACTTTTCATCATTCCAAACAGAAACTCTGTACCCATTAAACAATATCTTCCCATTCCCCCCTCCCACTTGCTCCTAGTAACTCCTGTTCTACTTTGTCTATGAATTTGTCTATTCTGGGTACCTTGTATGAACGGAATTGTACAATATTTTTTCTTTGGTGTCTGACTTACTTAGCATTAATGTTTTCAAGTTTCCTGCGTGTTGTAGCATGAATCAGAATTTCATTGCTTATGAAGGCTGAGCAGTATCCATGTGTACTGTATCCAAAATGTATCACATTTTGTTTATCCATTTATCTGTTGATAGAATTCTCCATACTTTTATCTTTTTTTTTTTTTTTTTTTGAGGCAAGGTCTTGCTCTGTTGCCCAGGCTGGAGTGCAGTGGTTCAATCTTAGCTCACTGCAGCCTTGAACTTCTAGGCTCAAGCTATCCTCCTGCCTCAGCTTCCCAAGTGACTGGGACTACAGGTGTACACTACCGTGCCCAGTTAATTGTTTAATTTTCTGTAGAGATGGGGTTTTGCAATTTTGCCCAGTCTGGTCTCTAACTCCTGACCTCAGGCAATCCTCCCCTCTCAGCCTCCCAAAGTGCTTGGATTATGGGCATGAGCTACTGTGCCCAGCCTTCTAATTGACGTATTGAAGGGCAGGTAATGATTATTAGAACTGGCCAAAGATTCTCAAGATTGCTTTTCTGGAAGAAGTGGTCCTTTGACTGTAGAAGTTTGAGACCCACTAGACACTTGTCCCTTGGACTTGGCAGTGTCCTGCTAGGTTCTACCTATCTCGGAATATCCGTGATCACATCTTCTTTTCAGCTCCTAGCTAAACTTCATAGAAGTCTTTTCACCTCTGTCTCCTGTAGGTGTATTCAGTGCCACCATAGCTCTATTAAACTTTTTGTCAAAGATACCCATATCTGGGTTTCTGGTGGATCTCGTGGTTAATAACTGTTGGCACAGCTCAGGATTTCCAGCTGCCATGGCCCTTGGCAAAGGAGCGTTACCAGATGTTCAGCATAAGGATCCAGCACCCATGTTCCTTTGTATGTGCCAGGCTGGGTTTGTATTTGCTGTGGCTGCTGTTTGCTCCTGGGCTTGGTTTTCTGATTATGTCATTAGGGAAGTAAAGCCCAGCTTTGCTGAGTAACTATGAATGCAGAGATGAGAGAGGCTTGGCTCTTCTAAAAAGGGAAATATCAGGAAGGCAGTTTGGAGTCCCAGAGGCTGCTATGGGGTAGGGATTGTAAAGGTGGGGCTGGAGAATGGGTCCGAAGCTAGGACTGAGCAGCACAGGCCACTGAGAACTCATTTAGATTGCCCTTCTGACCCGGAGCTCAGGGAGGCCCCGATTCCCTCTCAAATGAGCCTCAGAACCTGGCAAGACATTTCTTTTTCTTTCTTTCTTTTCTTTCTTTTTTTTTTTTTGAGATGAAGTTTCACTCTTGTCACCCAGGCTGGAGTGCAATGGTTCAATCTCTGTTCACTACAACCTCTGCCTCCCAGATTCAAGCAATTCTCCTGCCTCAGCCTCCCAAGTAGCTGGGATTACAGGTGCCCACCACCATGACCAGCTAATTTTTTGTGTGTGTGTTTTTAGTAGAGATGGGGTTTCATCTCAGGCTGGTCTCAAACTCCTGACCTCAGCTGATCCACCCACCTCAGCCTCCCAAAGTGCTGGGATTATAGGCATGAGCCACCACACCTAGCTAACACATTTCTTCTATTGCGAAGAGGCCATATCTGCTGTGCCTGCCAGTATTGGCCCTACATAGCGACCTTATGGAGTCATTCTACTGCCTAGGTGTTTGCTTGGTGACTGG